GCCCTGAGCTCACTGCCATCTGCTTACATGCAGCAGATATTGGAACTTTTTGGAACTATGTGGTATAGTTGTTGTTTTGATTGATTTCAGGGAGGAAGGGAGAGGGAGAGGGAGATAAAAACATCAATGATGAGAGAGAATCATGGATCGGCTGCCTCCTGAACGCCCTCTACTGGGGATGAACCCGCACCCAGGCCTGTGCCCTGACCAGGAACCGCACCAGTGACCTCTCTGTGCACAGAACGATGCTCAACCAACTGAGCTACACCGGCCAGGGCTCTTATATTATTTTAATATCAAATTTGAACCAAATGCAAGAGGCAGAGTCCAGGGTCTAAATACACAATTTTGCAAAGGATTTGCTTGTTTGATTTTTAAATTGCACCTCTGGAAACTGGAGGATACCCTGCAGGCAAGACTGTCCCTGTGGACTTAAACACTCCCTGAGGAGTTTCTAGAATTTCCACGAACTATTTGTGTATTAAAGGGACTTTCCTACTCGAGCACAATTACAGTCCAACTACTGTGCCTTCCAAATGTTAATTAAAAGAAATTACGCTGAAAAGTTCGTGACCTTGAAAATGACTGCCCGGGTCATTTCTAATGTGGGGCCTGTCTCCTGCCCCCTGATTTGGGTCCTGTTCTGAAAGGGGGTCCCTTAGGACCTGAGGCCTGGGAGGGGCGCTTCTGTCTTTGGGATGAAAGGCCGGTTTGAGCACGAAGCCCGCCTCCTCATTTTCCCAGTTCAGCACCTCCGGCTGTGGGAGCAGGAAGTTCTGTGTGCGGAGCCCCTCGGCCTGCGACCCAGCGAAGGAGGCCGCCTGCCTCTTCCTGTCCTTCACGCGGGACGGCCAGTCGGTGACGGTGGAGATGAGCGGCCCCAGCAAAGGCTACCTGTCCTTCGCGCTTTCCCACGACCGGTGGATGGTGGGTACCTCTCACTAATCCGTGGGATGACATTAGTCCCGGGGGGTCAGCTGTTTGTTCCGGGTCAGATGATGGCCCTGGAGGGAGGGGTGGGGAGGGAGGGCGGGTGCTGAGGCTGAATGAAGCCTGTGTGCTGTGGTTTGTCGATTCCTGGTGTCATTCACGGCGACTCCAAATTTCTTATCTTGAGCTGGGCTAATTCCGGGTTGGATGGAAGATTAATGGGCGGTTCTTGGGTCTTGTTTAAGGAGCTTAGCGACCAAGGCCCATAAAATACCTTGCTAGGTAGTTGAGGGGGAGCGATTTAGAATAGGCGAAAGAACCAAATCTACTCACAGTAACGTAAAATCCAGAAGATTCGCTGGTAACCTTGAAATGATGCCAGGTGCTTTGAAGAGGCAGCCTGCCCTTTGGTAGTAATTGAAATGAGATCTGAGTTTAGAGAATATTAGAGATGAAAGGACACATGGGAATCAGACCGGCAAAGAACGCCTCCCTGAGCTCAGACGTTGTGGCCTCAATACGTAATGCTTAACCTATTGGGTGTTGAATGTGTACAATATTAGCAATATTTGATTACAGTGCCTTCCATCTTGAAGGCTACCCCCCAAAACCGATATAATATAGCGCATTTACAGTCATGAAAACGTTCAAGACATAGATATAGATATATACAAATAAGTATCCAGAATAATATTCATGATAAATTAAAACAGGTAACAAAACTGTGTATTTTTCTATTTGGAGAGAGAGAAAGATATAGGTATAAATATAAATAGATTTGGATGAATATATATGAAAGCATTAACCGTGGTGTTCAATTGGGGATGGGTTTATGGGCATATAAACATGTCAAGTCTGTTTTAGCCTGTTTTTTTATAATGAAATTGTATTGCTTTCCTATTATAACAAAATCCGATTGATTCATAAATCGGACAGCCATAGTATCATTGAAGGCTGCCAGTAAATTATTTAAGAATACCAAATACGATTTGATCTTTATTAAAGACTTAAAAGCACAGCGTTGAACTTCCTGTCGACTCTTCTCCTTTCCCATCATTCTCCAGGGCGACGATGACGCTTACCTGTGTATTCATGAGGACCAGACCCTGAGCATCCGACCTGCCCATCTGACGGGGCGGAGCCACCCGGCCCTGGACTCCTGGGTAGGTGTCAAAGTTCTGGGGGCCTCTACCTGGCCCGCCCACCCTCCGGCCACGTGGCTCACAGCGGCACGTCTGTGTGGCAAAGTGGCCTCGAACCCGCAGTCAGTCGGGCCCTAGCAGGGGCCTCGCCAAAGGGTTCCTCTCTCATAACACTCTGGGAAAGCTTTTCTGCACTTTCCCTTATTCTTTTTTTTACTAGATATACATATATATTTAATAAAGTTTATGTGTATTTAAGGTGTGCAACATAATGTGTTTTTAAAAAATGTTTTGATTGATTTTTTTTTGAGAGAGAGAGGAAGGGAGAGGGAGCGAGAGATAGAAACATCAATGATGAGAGAGAATCATGGACTGGCTGTCTCCTGCATGCCCCCCACTGGGGATCGAGCCTGCAACCTGGGGCTGTGCCCTCGACCGAGAATCAAACCGCGACCTCCTGGTTCCTAGGCCGATGCTCAGCCACTGAGCTACGCCGGCCGGGCGCAATGTTTTGATACCCACACAGTGAAATTCTGTGCCAAACCGGCTAGGGCTACTTGCTATTGTTTGTTCAATGTTTTTGATTGTTAGTGGCCAGGTGGAGTTTTTATGTCTGCCAAAGTTTCTCTCCTGGGGAGAGGGATTTTGGGGTTTTGACTCAAAGTGAAAATAATACTTTTGCCAAGTGAGATCAAGACAGGCTGGGAGGTAGTGTTTGTTACTCTTTGAAGGGGGAGGGGAGAAGCAAGGCCAGCGCAGACCAGACGTGCACAGAGGGTCCCAGAGAAAGGAGCGTGGACGGGCAGGACTGCGGTCACATCGGGTTTTAGCAAATCCTGGGGAAGCGCCGACGAGACCCACTGTGTGCTTGTAGGACGCCCTGGAGGACATGGCCTGGAGGCTGGAGGATGGCGGGATGCAATGTTCCTTCAGGAGAAACATCACCCTTCCTGGCATTGAGAATAGATTTGACCTAAACACAAGCTACTACATATTTCTAGCAACTGGTGCAGCCAAGGATGGTAAGTACTATGTATGGATAAAAACTACCTTTTCAAGATTTTTTTTCTTCTCTCTCTTCTCCCCTCCCCCCATTTTAAAAACATTTACACGTGCGGGTAAAGAGTTACCAAAACCCTCTTCCATCTTGCCTTCCCTTTTGACCTTGGTTGGCCTTTAAGCTTCGTTTCCCTAGAAACTAGGCAAAGGTAGGGTCAACTACGCTATCAGGCCACATGCTCACGATGGAAGGGAATTTCTGGCTGGTAAGCAGCATTTGGGCCAGGAAT